GTCAAYAATGTTGACCTGGTTGCCCCGTTTTCCAAGTCCCATGAGGACGTTGTCGGGCTTGATATCACGGTGGATGAAAGACTTGGCGTGAATGTACTCGATACGAGTGATGAGCTGATCGGCGAGTAGCAAGACAGTCTTTAGGGAATATTTGCGATTGCAGATGTTGAATAGATCCTCCAAACTAGGGCCGAGAAGGTCGATAACCATGGCATTGTAGTCACATTCGGTACCGAACCAGCGTACGAAAGGGATACCAACACCGCCGGCCAGTGACTTGTAGACACGGGCTTCATATTCCAGCTGATGGTGTTCAGCTTTGACGCTTTCGAGCTTGATGGCAACTTCTTCGCCCGAAATGTTGTTGGTGCCTTAAGCCAATTTACTGATGATTAGTTGCGAGCTCGCTAATTATCACGATAATAGAGTCTATGGGCCTACCTAGGTAGATGTCGCCGAAATGACCGCTCCGTAGCTTGCGTCGGATGCGGTACTTGGCACCTTCACGCAGCGAGCAGAATACCATATTGGAGGTGGTAGAAAAGAAAGGAAGGGGCAAGCAACACGAGAGATTTATAAGTGAAAAGGGGGCGGGTTTCAACCAATATTTGCAAAGCAGCCGTCGAATGGAGACCGAATCAAGTGCTACGCCCTCCAGGGCAAAAATGTAGGTAACGGCTCTTCAACCCGGGCAATTAGACCCAGTGGCGTCTGTGATTCAGAGTGGCTAGTCTGGGTTGGCACACCTACTCCGCCGTCTAGCTGAAATATGACTACACCTGGGGTTTCGTCATCAACCAGCTTTCGCCGTACAGTAGCTACGTAAAAAGATATGAGGTAGTCCGTCCGTCTATATCTATCATTGTGGAAACAGCGATATTTAAAAATGAATCCCATTTACTTAAAGAGAAAATCTCCACTGGTTGGCGATCTGCCACACTGAAACCTTTGCCGACTTTGCCTGCAATAAACCGCCATCCATTTGACTTCACACTGTAAATKGYTGGTAGCCGCGAGACCATAAGATTGTTGCATGTACTCAGGAAGATAATTCGTGAAACAACTAGTAGTAAAGCAATTGACCCGTGGATTGTGGAGGAGACCATGAATAGCTGGGCCAAGTCCACGGCAACATGCCCCATTGATGACCTGCTTGATCCTGTGTTTGATCGATGGTCTGGAGCGGAATCGAAGTCAGCAGTTGCTCCMCGTTGCTTTCATCCTGCATGGTACATGATTTGGACCTCGGTGATGGATCGAAATCTTGTAGAMKGAGAACCTCCCACAATCTCCTGAATTGCTTCTTATTTGCTTTCGTTGGTTTGAGCTCGTCAAAGGCATGGTGGAGGTCTTTGATTGTAATGTTGCATGGCTTTTCCAGTACCACACGAGTGAGTAGCTCTTGAATATCTAAAACATGTTAATCGCTACATTACATGCTCGAGAAGTATCACTTTACCTGAATCCGAAAGATTTTCAACTTCCTGGGACCACCACTCGTTACTGCCTGACGGGTTTTTCTCCCTCAGGAGTKTGATGAAGCTCTTGGCCAAACCTCCACAGAATGCTGGAGTTGAGTCCGCAAAGTAGTTCAAGTAGTATTGAGTCGTTGGTCCAGCAGGACGCAGCCTCCGGAAACGCCGTTTCTCCATCATAAAACAACGGCTATGTGTGCAGATAATCCTGCAGGTGCTTCTGCAGTGGTWTATATGTATGCAGGTTACGTATTCCTAGGGCCAACCCAAGCAGAACCTACACTACACTTAGGTTACATGGTGGTAACGCCACCTAATTTGACGCTCCTCCAATCGAGATTACAGAAATCAAGTAACCGAACCGAGTGTCGTAAGGCTAGCTCTGTACAAGCCCYGGTAATAATCTTCTGTGGCTCAATACTGGCTAGGATTATAGCGCAAGTCCGTGGGGCGGACTGATGATGGTTTAGCGGCTTCGCAAAGGGACCGTGCAGGGTTGTTCACCTCTCCCATGTCTGATCATTAACCAGCGAAATCGGATCAAGTAATTACATCGATTAGACGGTCTTRTTMCGTTGAGATATCTAATAAGCTGTTMTGCTTAGCTGGAATCGTATTGATATGCAGGTTAAACATACAAATACTGCGCTTTCATTATATTGCTGACTTTTAGCGCTCATACCTCGGCGTTGTTRCGTATGTCAGCGACATTCCACCGGAGATAACTCGCACCATTTGGTTACAAGATGCGCAAGGCTGAATCCAAGAAGAAGGGGTTCTAGTTTATCGTAACCAATCAATYWTACTAGAAGGTCTGTGATGTATAAACTATAGAAAACCTTGCTAGTATGCAAGACTAGACCGTCCAGCGCATTATTTGCAGCCAACATGATATGACTGACTAGGTCTAGAATTGCACAGCAATTGAAGTTGGACAGTGACCCACCCTGGCTAATARCTACAACGCATTAGTTTTGAGCCACTGCGACTAAATTTTTGGACCACTGCGATCTGTAGGGAGTCTGCGAGTAAGGGAATGGCCAGCTGAAAGCATGGTTGGCTGAAATCTTACGTAGTCAAGACATGRTCCACGGCTTCCTATCTAATGTCTGACTCCATATCCTGGAAAGCTTACTCGCAGGATTATGGGTGCGTATTCATGAACACAGCGAAAATGAATCCGCGGTCATCAGCCTATACGGTTAGACCGAGATACTAAGCGGGCCATCAGTTACGCTTTGACAATTGGCGTAGTGCATAACTAAGAAGCCGGATGCGGACTATTAACCCAAAGTCGTAAGCACAGTGCCCCGGTAGAGATCAGCCACGGCTAGTAGTGCCAAGAGCCTGCCAGCTAATTGTGGGCCCTTATTGCTTATACGTATTAGGCTAGCGGAAATAGTTTCTGAGTTGCCACCAAAATTGCCAAGCACTCGCCTACCCTATTATGGATGTTTTAATAATACATTCGCAGACTTAATACAAACCACCATCCTAGGACGTGTGGGTTTGTCATGGACTGCACGCCTTGCCAATAGATATCCAAGTGTCATTCTACAAAAGGTGACCACTACATGACAATGCGCTAGATCTGTGAAAATGTCAGCTGGTTTCTGGTATGTCACCAAATGAAAGAAACGCAGAATTGATAGTATTGAGAATGACCCGTTGGATCTAAGACTAAACTAAAATTTGATAGCCACCTTGACCCATCATTCCTGGTAGCCTTCCCCAATTCTCAGCATGTTCCGCTACTGTTCTTTATTGAAAGAGTTTTCAATATCGAAAAGCGATGGATTAGCTGCTAACAGTTTTTTCATCATTAGTGCTGGAAACGAGCAATCCATTTCTATTCAACACATCCCGGTAGTACCCAGCGCGACTCATTAGCTCGGCATGAGTTCCTTGATCCGAAATTTTTGCCCCCTTAAGAACTATTATCCTATTTGCGTGACGAACTGTGGGCAAGCGGTGTGCAATAACAATCACTGTTCGCCCACTCATCAACTTTTCAAAAGCCCCTTGGATAACACGTTCGGTTTCGTAATCAACTGAACTTGTTGCCTCATCCAGAAGTAATATTTTGGGATTTTTCAAGATAACTTGTGCAATTGACAGGCGCTGGCGCTCTCCTCCTGATAGTTTCAATCCTTTATCGCCTACAATGGTTTTGTATCCGTCTGGAAGGCTCTGAATCCAGTGATGGAGATGAACCTCCGTGCATGCTTTTTCGATATCATCCTGTGAAGCGTTGGGGTTGGCATATTGAAGATTGTATTCTATAGATGCATTGAAAAGAATGGCATCCTGGGGCACTATTCCGATAGATTCTCGGATGCTATCAATCGTCACAGTGCGAACATCTTGTTGATTTATCATGACCGCACCCCCATCGGGGTCGAATTGTCGTAAAATCAGATTGAAGATCGTAGTTTTTCCACTACCAGTTTTGCCCACAATAGCTGTAGTCTTTCCAGCTTGACATTCGAAGGATATCTGTTGCAAAACATTTTGGGGCCGGCCAGGGTATGCAAATGTTATTTTATTGAATTGTACGCTGCCTGGAGCCTCTAACGACAAGGAAGCAGCATGTGCCTGATCTTGAACCGATGGAGCTCGCTTGAGGAGAAGTATTATGCGCCTCGCATCCGTGAACTTTGTGTTGAATGACTCGGCAAGGGAATCTAATTTTTGAAATGGGCTAATAAGGTCCCTCCAGTTAGTTGCAACTAAAACGATATCACTTGACTTTTGCTCTTGGTGGATTTGTGATAGAACTATCAAACAGGCACATGCATAGCCAGCTTTTAAAATGCCCTGGTTGACCATGGCTTTCAGATCCGCCCAATGCTTGTATCGATTCCCTGCTCTTGATAGATTCTGTACTGTGCGCAGGTAACGATCTTTTTCACGATTGACACGGTTAAAGTAGGTCACAGTCAGCCAATTGGTAACCGCTTCATATAGTACCTTTTCTTGATTTTCTTGAGCGGCATCCCATTCTTCCAGTTTGACCTTCTGCCGCGTCAAAAACTTATGACTGGACCAAGAGAAGAGCAGGATGGTTAACAGATTTGTCATTGCCATATAGAGTCCAAACCGAATGAATAGAATATATATCGCAATAAGAAGTTCTACCATTGTTGGTATCAAGCTGAAGGCGATCAAATTCAGCAGTTCACCTAGTGCCGTACCGTAGGCAAGTAGTTGCCGTAACTCCCCAGGGTTTTTGGTGTCATGGAAATCGCGTGATAAATCCATGATGTAGTTAAAACATTTCGTCTTTGTTTTCTCATTGACGTCATCTTGCAAAGGTCTCCAAATACTGGTTTTGAAACGAAGCATAATATCATCCGACAAATAGAGAAGAGCAACATAGAGTAATACTTGCTTCTTAGACCCGGAATCCGCGATCGTATCTATAACTTGTCCAAGTTGGAGATTAACTCGGATTTTGAGAGCCTTTTCGATAACGGTACAGATGAGAAACAAGCTGAGTTGTATGGCCACCATGCGTATATCGCTTGGCCATAAAAATACAATGATGTATTGCAAGGTCTCCCACGTCTCCGCGTTGTGTCTTGTCACCAATCTTTCAGCAAAAAAAAGTGTGCAAATCACGGCGAGCAATATCAATCGAATATAAAAGCACACCATCATAGAGTTCGAGCTGGAGTAAGAGCAGAATGCATTGATCTCTGCAGTGCTATAGATCACACCACAGGCGTAGAAGAAATGGCTGCGGGTATACGCTGGGCCAATAAACCGAAGCAATGCCATAGACCAAAAGATCGAGATTCCACATGCCATGGCGAGGTTAAAGTTCACTAAGTGACTTCGAGAAATTGCCATTTGCATACAGTGCGTCGCCACAATACATGACGTGAAGCCAATCATGCTCCTTCGAAGAACCACCAGAAACATAGTCATCTATAAAGTGCAGCTCAGAAGGGAACATCAATGCAAATGGGAGAAAATTCGTCTGGGCAAGTGTTGGGCAGCGGCGACAATTTATGATTCTTTCGTGCGGAAGATCTTGGTACTAGCTTCATTCTATATCCCATGCAAGCGAGGCAAGGCCCTGAACATGCATAAATATTGCATCCTACCATTCGCCAATAGGGGAGCTTTTAGATTACAGCTGTGATTGCAAGTCAAAGACTATCTTCAAAATATTAGCTAAGACCAACCACAAAGAAAGATCCCAATTTATTTAGTATAAACAAATTTCAAACACTATCATACATGACAATATATTCGCGCCCTACAATCCTGTGCTCGGCTTTTGACCGTATACGCTGTATCTGTGAAAACGTTAGTTGTTGTTTGGTGAGCTCTGGGAAGAACTTACAAGTTAAGTTTAAAGCCTGCCGCCATAATCTCATTCCGAATCAATGCGATGAAAATATTAAACTCCAAAATGTTCCACTGGAGGTCGTCTGTGAAGAACCGTAACCCATATACATATAACGATTGGATGAAATATTCCAGACTACTATTCCCTTTTGACAATACAATGGTCCATTCCTTCTTCTGAATGCTCTTAAACCCTGCTTTCTCCAAGGACTGCACCAAGTCTTCTGAAGATTCCAGCGGATTCTTCAGTGTTTGGGTGAGTAGACGATGAAAGGCGGACAGACATGGATATCGTTTGTTCTGTGGGATTGTCCATCGATCAAGTTCGACGCGTTCAAAGTAACCACCAGGGGCGAGAATATCGAAAACATCGCGAGAGAATCGGCCGGCATCAGAAAGGAACCTGCTGCTTGTTAACATTGGTAGATGTAATATAAGAGCACACTTACCCGTTTAGATCTCGGGCATGAACGTGGTGCCAATGATTGTTTTTGTATGTGTCAAGGTTTTCCAGGTTATCGATCACGAAGCGAACATTAGACGGCACCATCTGTGGTTGGAGGTGTAGCATGTCGATACCTTCAACCTCAGCGGAGGGGTATTTGCTGCGATTAGGGTCAGCACTGCGTTTTCTCAGGAAAGCATATCCCTTACTCGCCAATTTCTATCGCCCACACACCAGTTCCAGTCCCTATGTCCAGAATCCTTCCTGGGTCACAAAGCGGCGCTTGATACAGCTTCTCATCTTGACTGATGAGAAACCTTCTGCGCGTGAGTCCAGATCAGTGATGTTTGCGATGGGATAAGGCTGCTCACAGATCATGTTGCTAGACATCATTAGACCGGGATAAAAAGTGCAGGATGGGTAAGCTCACATATTCGAGACGGCGTAGTTCCTCTTCATCGACAGGTAAGCTGTGCACGGTTAGTGGAAGATACCAACACGGGAGGTATACCAACAAGTATTCCTTGATCAAGTTAGCTCTGTCCAAGCCCTGTGCGGGAACGACGTACCTTAAAATAGTCGGAATACTCTCGTCCTATACACATGTATGTAAGGTCCACAGAGTCACTCATGGATGTCGTGGATGAGTCATCGGAGTAGTAGCCATGGTCGTCTTCAGCCATCTTGCTGGTAGATTACACGGCGGTCAATGTGCAATTACTTGGACAAGGCTGGCTGGCGGCTGTATGATTTTAAACACAGCTGGAAACATGCAACACTCTATGCACGCTAAAACAGGGATTGTGTCACTTTACCCAATTCAACTCTATGTGCCGAGCAAGGATCATAATCAACACTTTGGCCCGTCAGCACGACCTTCAAAAGCTCCACTTGTGTCCTTCTAGTGCGTAATAATGCGAGGCTATCGGAGTGTAGGGTCTGCTTAAGTCGCTCGCTGGTATTCAATCTACTCTCCTTCACTGTTAGCCGAATCAAGCTTGCTAGAGTTGCACAACGCTACAGATTCGTAGCGATGGAAAACGCCAAGACCCTACCAGCTCATTGTGGGTCTGTGGCTCACAGTATTACGTAATCGTAGATTGCCCCACCGAGAAATATGCCAAGCGCCCGACTGCTCATTGTGGATACCTGGCAGCAACACCACCTCGTATCAGCTGCTCGGTCATCATGAGCACAGTGACGGAGAGCCTTTCGGTTCTAGTACAAGTGAACTTGGAAGTGACTTGGAGATCACAAGCGGCCATTTCTCTGCTGATCCATCGCGTTCGCGGACTCAGAACACAACCATCACAACAGTGGTATCCATCCCTTACAGATATTACTCAAGTAGATGTGACTGAAGACGGCTTGAAACGATGCCTTCAGACTCTGTACGCGACGTCCGATGAAGAGCTGTCCTGTTTCCAATCGGTATTGGAGACCCACATTTTTGGACGATTCCAAATACTACCCTACGTGCAGTCGCTTCCGAAAGATCTACCGTGCGAAGCCTACTTAGTCGAAGTAGAGAAAGAGTTAGGATACATCCGGTACTTTTTCAGCTATGTGTGGACCGGGCTCTTAGTCGAACCAACCAGAGACCTGCGCAAGGTCCTTCAGCTGTCCAGAACTCCATCCCCAGCCGACCTTTTCCTTTTCGTACTTGGGTGTCGGCACCACGCCCTAAGATATCGACTATCTTTTCCGGATGCCCCGTTAATACCAGAGCGCGGCGAGGAAACGAACACACACGTTGGGGCTTACGTGGAGACGTGTGATCGTCTTCTACCTTTGAGGAGAATCATTACTGCCTTGGATATTGGCAGGAAATTATTAGCCATTGAAACAAATCTAGAGTGTCCAGGGATATCTCTCGCTATGTTCTTGACCATTCGAAAGCTAGGACAGATGCACGCTCGGGATATCTACCAATTAATTCGACTAATTGGAATGTTTGGGCGGTTCCCTTCAATTTTAAAGACCGGACACACACTCGGCTCCCAAATAAACATCTATCAAGCACGATACGCTAGAGGTATTCAAAAATACACTGATCCATTTAACGAACTTAATACCGCATGAATGGCGCCACGCAACCCGGCTTAACGCAACCCGGAAAATCTTCATCCTCACCCGGCGGGCGAGCAGGATTATTGACATACACAATAGTGGCAAAAAGGACCTCGCTTGACTCGGAAAAATCAGGCCATTGTGTCCACAAAGTGGTCCTTCCTTTTAGCGCTTCCTTTCGCCTCACCGACAATAGAGTAGTTTTCCGATTACTTTGGTCGAATTCCGACTTAGTCAGGAGGTGGGATCCATCGAAGGGTCTGAAATTAACCTCCTCCGCGATTGGTCGGATCAAGACCATGGCATCCCCGGTGCGGTAATCTTGGGGCCCAAGCATGTAATTGGTCGATGTATCGCCGGTCGATTCTGTCTTCCAACATCCCACAACCCGGACTTGATCCCTAAGACCGGATGGGTCTAGACCATCGAGGTTCACGTTATAATGAGCGCTGTACTATTTAGTTGATCAGTTAGCGAAGAGAAATCTGATGAGCTCTGCTTTCCTTACATTGATTCCATGCTGCACGTATTCTTCTATTTCCCGAAAGAGAACTGTTCCCCAACGTGGCTGTATATAATAAAGAGGACTGTCCTCATACTGTACGAGGGTGAAGTCTTCAGGGTGTTTTTGAATCTTCGTTAAAATAGAGTCTCGAAGCTCTTGCGGAGGCTCCGCAGCACCATGCAAAATAGCATAACCGTGTTCTTCCATTTCTTCCCATTTAATTCCGTCGTCGGGATACGTCTCCATGTTGGGCGGGGTATCGACTTTTTGTGGGTACAAAATGGTGTTCAGGCGGCCAATCGGATCGGAGCATTCGATGTTTCATACGAAAATGATTTGAGAGTACCATGAATAAAAATCTTGGGAGAGGAAGAATTTATATTTGGCTGGCCTCTTAGCTATGACATATCTGTATATGCCTCAGGACCAAATTTCCCGAATTATAACCGTTGACTTCGCTGATCCGCGAGTCTGCCGTTGTGCGTGGCCGACATTTGAGAGCTGCAGACTGATACTAAGCTTATAGCCTTCTCCTGCAGGATACAAACAAGGTAGTAGCTCTGTAAAATACGTGGTTTGATACAGTATTTTGTCTGAAAAATATATAAACTATAGCAATTACTTTACATGAATTGATGATTATCGTCAAAGAGACAAAGTAACTAGTATGGCATCACGAGATCACGAGTCCTATCCTCCCAGTGATATGCGTCGGTCGATGGAAGCTAGGTAACGCGTTAGCCGTCATGATCAGATGTAGATTGTCGTTAAATATTTACCGTTGAATCGATGAGAGGCTCATCAATGATTGCATCAAATACAAGCAAGCCATCAATAACACCAGAAGAAGGGGGTATCTCATTATCCTCCTTCCATCACCTGTCAATGTTAGCAAACACTCTCCTTAACGTAGTTAGGTTTTGATACCTTTGGGCATGGTAGCGGTACTTTCACATTTAGCGAAAGACTTGGCTGAGATTGGTTTTGGACCAGGATTTGCCTCGATGACAATAGCGTATGTGTGGGTGACACAAATGCGATTTGCATATTCCATGGTTAAATTTGATATCGGGCTGCATATACTTGCATGAGGAAAGAACGCAGTTTTATAGTTGGCAGGAATCAAATTCTCTATGCAAATGATGGGCTCATGTGTGCCAATGCCCATCGCCTCCACCCTTGACACTAAAAAGTCTAGACGTATTTCTCTTGACGCGGTCTGGATTAACAACAACCTTCTACGTGGTATGAAAACTAAGGACTAAATATGCACAGGCCAGTCGGTCTTCCGTGGATACCATTCTCCTTCACGCATTGAAAGGTGCGTGGCTTGCTCGGTTCGTACGCTGGCACGGGGTTGGCTTTCAGCCGTTTCTGTGCTTCCGCGATGGACTCCGGAAAATCGTACTTGGGGGTCAAAGCTAATTAAAAAAATTGTAGGTTTTCCGTTTTCGTTTACTCCTGAACAGACCATGGACCTTTCATCTGCTATGCCATACATATCGGTGTGTTTTCTTACAGGTAAAGGCAGCTGCCAAAAGCTGACCGAAGCGTGTTCCTTGTCCGCTTCACATCGATGAGAGTTAAATCGAAGTTTGCATTCACCCCTATCGTCATAGACGAGGTCAAGAAATGCAGGGCCCCGAAAATTGTACGTAGAGAATTTTGTATGTACCCGTTTACTATCTTGTCGTTGACAGAACGTACTGCGGTACTCTTGATGTACATACTTTCCATGCCTTTTGTGTCGTATGAGATCCTCTGGCATAACAGGTTCAGACGGAGAGACATGCCTATCTCCCTGGAGAGAGATCAGCTCGGAACTGGGTGGCAGGAATTCACTGTAGCAAGTACGATTCCAGGCTGACTTGGATTGCGGATACTCCACGCGACATTCAACAATCATAAGCCGGCCAGTAGCATCGTCGACTTGCAAAGATAGATATGCCCAGTCTTCGCGGGTCGGACCTTCCAAGTAGTCCCTCCTCCACCTTTCGCTGGCGCGAACGCTGCTCCAAGTGCATGCAGGTGGAATACAGACACATTGGTAATAAGATCTATCGTTTATCGTGTTATCGTACACAGAAACCCCATAAAGATGGCCTCCAAAAATTTCAAAACAAACGTTGCAGCCCAGATCTTTTTCTACTAGATTGTACACCGTAATTCGATGTGCCGTTACTTTCTCGCGCGTCGTGTGATCGACGCAACTAATGACCCAGTGTCTCTCGTCGTCGTTGGGATTCATGAGCGAGTATACACCGTAGAATAAAGTGGTGCGGTTGACACGTGCAAATAGTCGATTTGTAGAATCCAAGCGGTCCATAAACCTTAGTCTGCCTTTCAACGGTTGTTCGGGGGATATATCGAGAAGAATGAGGTATGATTCGGTGTCAAGTGTCACCAGGAATGCCAGCAGTTCGTCTGAATAACACAGAAGCGACGTCGTAAAGGTCCTGAAGCCTTCTACTGTTCGGCGCAAGATTCGACGGACATCAACCACTTGTTCCTGGGTTTGCGCTTCATGAACATCCAATATGCGGATTGTGTCTTCAACAACATAAGACAGGACCCCCTTCTGATAGATAAAATGCGTAGCATACGACAGTTCTTTGTAGTAGTATGGTGTTGCGGTGGTGATTGCATCACGCGTATCGAGTAGACGGGCAATAGCCTGCAGGAAGTTAACCCTTCCCTCATAGACCAGCCACGATTCCTTAGAATAAGATGCGTATTTCTAGGGTAGTCAGTTTCAGTTTCTGAGAATGGAACGAAAACACGATGAAGCCTACCTTCATGAATTTCATGGCTAATTTTTCAATCCACAGCATTTTGCAAAAATGCCGACACACGCGACATAGAATGCGGTACTCTGACAAACTAATATACTCACAAATGAGAAACATAATATCGTATGGCAAGGATACAAGGCATTTTCTTTGATTGTCATCCATGGCTACAGCCTGTGCTAACGAAGTCAACCGAAGCAGGTTGGAATCACCATCTCTCTTATACCTAGCCAAGCCTCTGCCAAGTAAGAATACAGTAGGTGTACTTGCAGAGACTATGACAGTACACAATGATTGGACAGCTGATATTGTTTCCAGGCTTTTTCAACCTCGCTTTCCTCCCCCTTCTTGAATGTATACTTTGCATTTCGCCCCCCCTTGATTGCATCCATACTTTGCTGAAATTCCTCCCACGTGATCCAATGGAAATCATCGTGTTCTGAGGATAGCTTCACACTGTCTGTTCCCTCGACTCTAATTATGAAACTGTATTTCGTATATTCCTTGTCCTCCTTCTGCCAGCGCAGCTTGCCAACCAACACACAAACATCCTTCGTAATCAGACCGGCCTCTTCTTTTACCTCACGAGATAGGCCATCCAAGAGGCAAAGATCCGTCTTTTCGATAGATCCACCGGGGTAATCCCATTTACCACCAAACGAATCATTTGGAGCGCGTCTAAGCAATAGCATTTTCCCCTGGTTGTTGAAAATAAATCCGCCGACCACCAAGCGTTGTTTCTGGGTCACTGTTCCATCCACTGCTGTTGTAATCGGGAAAGGGAAATTATATTGTTGAACCTCAGGTGCGACTTGGTAGCTAAGCGCTGCCAAACGCCGCTTTGCTTTCTGCTCTTCACTTTGGACGAATTCCAAATAGTCGAAGTCATCTAAGATGGAGATGGTTAGTATATGGACGACACTTAGTTATCGCTGCATCCATACCTTGACCAGTGGGAATCCCTTCGCCAGCAGACATGACAGTGGTCGCGTGTACAACGTTCATCTTGTAAGCTGGTCTGACGGCAAAACAGTAAAATGAAGGCAAATTTATCTCTGCCGTCTCCAGAAATATGAGATAAGACTACCAATTGATAAGAAGTAGATGACAGCGAGAATGAGAATAAAAACAAAGATAGTCATTATGATAGATGTACATCAAACGATATAACGACGACGTAAAGAGACAAAAGCGCGAGCGATTGTCCATCAGTATCGAGATTATAAACACGCCCTCAGTGTATTGCAACCCCGTTGATGAGCAGTCCCGGAATCATATTACAAGCTACAGTGAGGGGAAAGGGAAGATTAAAAAAGAATAAGGGTTCGATTGATGATGTCTTATGAACCAATAATTTTTCTACCTGCCACTTTAGTTCACTGCGCTATTCTGTAACTACATGCAAGACGATATATTCTTTGGGTCCGTCCACAAGTATCTGACAGCAAAATTGATAGGCCTTATTTCACTCCTAGCTTCCCAATCAACTTCCTTCAGTCATGTATCGCGTTCATGCTTAAGGGCCAGGAGTTCGCTTTCGCTTGCATTTCTCTGCAGATGGTGAGAAAGTGCCCTTGTCTTGTTATGAGTTATGATAAACTTACCATTGTAATCAACTTTTACTGTGTCTATGATATTTGTAGGGCAGAGTTTTTGGGTTATTGCGTATCTTGAACACCAAGTCAGAGGACGAATGTAGTTTCTCGCCCCACAGTCGCAAAAGACTTCTTCATGGTCACACATCGTAAATATGACTGAAGACGATATCAGAGACTCCTTAGCCGGTTGACTAAGATTTGATTTTTGCTTGTGGCAGATCATCACAGAAGTGCGAAAGTATGGTGTCTTTTATGTTTGATTGACGAAGAGAAAAGAAGGAATGATATGCGAGTGCCACGGAGATCTATCGGACCAAAACGCTCGCAACATCATCGGCTTATGAACAAAGGGGATCGAGCTCTGCACGGTCTGGTGTTTGGAACAACCGCTTAACCAACCAGTAATGTAGGGATTCTTGAGGAATTGTCTCCGATTCTGGCCGGGCTTGCCCCTTTGGTTGGTCTGGGGTTGGCGTCGGTGGAGGGACCGGCGCCCATCTCATAATCTCCTCTTCAAACCATGGGTCTGAATCTGACGGGCTTTGCCTCCCATCCATCGGCCCTACGGTAGAAGTTGGCTCGACTGAGGTTCGCAGGGATGGATTAGTGGATGGAGGGTCTGAAAACTCCACGTTAGTCCGTAGGATCGTGTGGCCTACTCTTTGATTTGGCCTTGACTGGTCTATTGGGGCAATTGTCGTATCCGATCTCGATGAATGAAGGCTGCCTTTTTCTTTTGACATTGACGTCCGTGTTTCAGTTTTCGCCTGGAAAAGCAGGGAACGTAGCATTCTCCATACTCGTCTCCACCAGGACTTTTTGTCTTCACCGATCCTAGTCTGCCTCTCTAGATCCGGATAGTCATCCAAACATATCAAGCGCCATGCTTCTTTGCATTGCTCCACTGGTGGCAGGGGCTGTGAGGGATTCAAAGAAGTCGGTGAAATCGTAGCTAGATTATTCTCGGGGTCCATGTTTGAAATGTGCAGGATTTGAGCAATTCCGTGCAGCTTAGGTGCCGAATGGGTTGAGACTGAAACCGGTGAGACTTGAATTGGTCTGTTAAGTTGCAGTAACTGTAGGACCTAGCATCTTTATAGGATATAAATTAATCATAGAAACATATACCACAACCAACGGCCAGTGCCCCAGCCGTCTGCATCCTAAACTAAAAGTATCCTTGATCCTACATTTGTTTGTTCCCCATATCATCATACACGTACGAGAACAAAGACTCCACTTCATGTCATAGACTCTCTCATCTGAGCCCTAGAGCATGTATAGAGTATCAGACCATTGGTAAGACCGGGGACGGGCCTATCTCACAACTAACAGGTGGAGCTGGCGAAGCGAGGTGACATGTACTAGCCCATAGCGCTAATGCACTTCGTAGTCCCAATCACATATTGACAAATCCTAGCCTTGCACAGCCCTCTTGAAAAAGACAGTAAGCCGAAAACAGATAATGTTTGCCATTGGCAAACATTATCTGTTTTCGGCTTACTGTCTTCTTAACCTCTCCTCTTCTCTCTCTCTTCTTCCCTTTCTCTCCTGACTACTTGTCTCTTACTGCTGAGAAAAGGATGGACGACGGTGTAAGTGAATTGCCCCCAACACAGACATATCTAATGTATTTCAGAACCCAGATATACGCGACCTTCTTCAAGAGCTTGAGAGCCTTGTAAGAGCTCAAGGGGATGAGGTATGTCACATCAAGTTGGTCAATCATTCGACATGATTTAACCTCTTTTCAGAAAACCGGAGAACTTCTCAGAGAAATCAGTCGTTCCCCAGATCCGTTCCAAAAGTTTCGAGAGGCTCTCAAGAGTAAGAAGGCGCGAGCTTGCAATGAACGTAAGGAATGGTTCGAAAAATATCCGGGATTATCTTTGGATCAGGTTGAATTTCTTACGTCTATTACCGACCACTGGGAGCTTGGTGAAGTCGCCATAAGCATTATTTCGGCATATGCTCGGGTATGGACCGAATACGCTTGGGTATTCTGGGAAGGACCAGCGCCGGACGAGGACTTGCTCCAACGATGTTATACCGATAGTCAAGTCATCCAAGTGGTGGTTCCTTTAAGGGAAAAAGCGATCTCATTTATCATAGCTGAAATTGTTGAAGATGAGCAAAACAGCCTCAAGAGCAAAAACGGATATCCAGTCAGCGATGTTACTTCTGGCCGAGATAAACATTTCCTCACAAAAGCTCTAAAGGAAATTTGCCATCGACACTATGGTGGTGATAAAGAAAAACTCAAATGGCTGCGAAAAGAATCATCCGACGGCATGAAGTATCAGAATCTAGATGAACCCCACGTCATCTTATCGTTGTATCAGGTTAAATCCAGGAAGTAAGTGTTTTATATCTTTATCCAGGCTATGTGACTAACCTTCCACAAGCTTTAAGAGACACAATTGGGCCGATATTGAGGTGGCAGCTTTGAATGCATTCGTAAAAACACTGCCACAGAGAGTCATATTCGAGACTTTGAAAAAAGCATGGCATTCAGTGGTAAAATACTATCGGGAAACCCTCAACAATAAAGTACAGTGCCAAGGGCGCAAAAGGCAGAGACAAGACGGCGATATCACGGCCACCATACATCCCGCAAGGCGACAGCGCGTGGATTCCGCCGAAATTAGACCTGCACCCAATACTACCCAAAATAACGACTCGCATGACGTTGCAGAAATCCTTGCCAATATGCCGAATAGTTTCAGGGTGGGAAGTCAAGATAATGAACTCTTCATTCCTCAAGATGATTTGACCACCGGGTTTGTCTGTGGCAACAATTCTCTGCAGGCTGAAGAGCATGGTAATAATAGGAATGAACTGCCATCAATTCCGAGCCATCCTGAAGCCGACTGCAATCATTCAAATGATCAGTTACCACGAAGTGAATACACGAATTGGACGAATTTCGAACTGTTTGATTTCGATCAAGAGGAAATTATACATGAGGTCTTAGCAGGTCTTGAAGATTTCGACTTTCCACCTCCTGATAACCCCTAAACTTATCTAATGTCCGTCATTGCTAGTGTAACCAACACACCATCGTCATCCTCAATAATCACATCGCATCTCTCGACTATGACATAGTAGTGGCTCATATCAACATCCATGCCTCCAATCTTGACTTTCCCCTTTTTGAATATAGGTTCTAGTATCATGAAATCAGAAGGCGTTTGCGTTGTTCCTGGCAACCACAGAGTTCCCCCGCCTCGACAATGTGTTATGATATTAGGTCGACCGCCGAACTTATCTGCGTGCTTTGTAGTCGTTAGAAGGACGGACTTTAAATGCTTATTGCCACTCACATTTGGATAGTCTTTTTGTATCTGAAGAACAAGTTGTTTCATTGACGGAGTTGCGCGAAATGAGGCAAGATTTTGCTTTGTGGTGATAAATTCGTCAACGGTGGTCGTGAGCTGATTCCACGCATCATCTTTAGAGAAACTAGCGAGGGGAGCGACGGTAGGTAATGCTAGAACAGCCGTTGTAGGAAGTTTCGCAGACATAGTCAATGCGTCGGTAACATCCAACCCTGTAGAGAAATTTAGCGACCGTAAAATTCAGAGGTTTATCAATTTGTCAGTCACCTGACCTTTTTAAATAAATCTCCTGTGGTGGGGTTACATATCCGCGGGGCTGTGTCACTTCTGCCTGATGACGAAGGTTGGGCGTTAGCAGGGAACACCCTAAATAGATGCCAAGACGTTCTGAAATCTCCTTAGTGGGACTACACGTGCACAAGGCAAGTCAGCTGCTTACCTGTCTAATGATTTTGAAGTCGTATTCGGTCGACATCTTGGCTATATAAAAGTTGTTGCGAGATTTTCCTTTTTTTTAACCCTTCGGTGTCTACTGGGGGCTAATTTGGTGCATGATTGCAGCAGGACTTGTGGGGTGGGAATCGCGCTAGAAAGTTTTAATGTGCTGAGAGGGCTAGCACTATAGTATTCCACGCACCCCTAAGTTCTATCTCATATAGATTGTTATGGATGGATGGCGTTAAGTTATAACCGCTTTCTCTCAGATTGCAGGTAGGTTGGTAACAGGGTTCGCTAGGTATATAAGGGCAAGCTCATATCCGGGATCAGTGATATCCATCGTTCCCTTAACCCGTTCACTTATATTTCATACAGTATAAACAATCCTTCATCTCGAATATGACCACCACAGTAAGGGACCTGATGGAAACGTACAGCCGTCCACCTTTAAGCATCGATAACGACGGCACAACTGCTCGCAAAGTATGGACAGAGGAATATTTTCCCTTTCAACAACAATACGTTACAGTGTGGCCGCCGCAGAGACAGGCTATTGATGCATTCCTGGGCTCTGGTACCTCAAGGTCGGATGCTGATTCAATTGGCCTCGACACTCCTGCTTATCCTTTGAATGTCTTTCCCCAGGTGGTTGCAACTGAAGGCGATGTAACACGGGATTTCGATCAAAATATCATTCCTGCTGTTGCTTTGGCATTCTCTGGTAACTCGGCTAGATCTAGGCTGAGGTCTAATCCGCGACAAATTGTTCCGGGCGCTCCCGCTCTCTGGTTGAGGTCACTAGTTGGATCTACAACATCAAAATTCGTTGATTATCAGATCGCAATGTCCCATAAAATACCATCACTTCAAGAGGCTGCTGTGGTAGGGGAAATGAAAAAGCCTAAAGTGATCAGAAGAAATGAATGGGCATTTGAAGTACATGCAGGTTCGGTAACTTTACGCCTTCAACAAGAACTCAGAGCGTATGTATTTTCTCTCTGTTTTTTTTCATTTATTCGAGTATTCTACTTTCTAACTGAGATAAGATACGCATACACATACAATTGTCCTCAGGTCTTTATTTTTGACTCGAATAGCCTAGTCATCATTCAATTTCGGGCTTCGAAACAAGAGGATATAAAAAATGAAGACTGTCCCATCGATTGCTGTATCCTTCCTCGAGAACAAAACCAATATATGGATGACCAATGCACTATGCAGTACGCAATGTACTTGCTCGTCTGGCGCGGGTGGTTACGTCTTTCTGCAACCTTACACCACAAAGAAGTTGGACCACATCAGGTTGTACGGACACGAATAAATCTCTCCTTAAACGGCTATACACGATCTTACATCTACTGGTCGGGAGAACCAGTATGGCGTGATGCTTATAGGCGTCAGTATGACAGCCACCCATATGGTTATACGCGTGATTTCCTTTACCGCCAACACAGGAGGCGCGATGGCTCAACATCGGAAGTACAAGGGTTTTGGGTATGGGTACTTGGTGATGAGACGATTGATGATACTCTGGATTGTTTTATTTCCGGATATTCCCAGCTTTTAGCTTTTAATTGATAATATTAAAAGCCAAGAATTTATTTCATAGCTGATTTTCTAAGGCTTTGCTTTTAATGAAGTAGTAAAGAAAGAATAGGTTTCTGACTGAGGTCGTGATATTCGCGTCACTTGGATGCACGACGATCCGTTGCCGGATGGTGGACCGCCAATTTTACTCAGATGTGAAATTGTAGGTATATCATGATGCTCGTATTTTTGAGATCTTAGCAACAACACCCGTTCGGCACGACGATCTTTTGCTAATAAGGTTTCTAGCTATGAAGCAAGGGTGCCTGGAGTGGCTAATTTTTCCGGCATCGCCCGACCTTCAGATGTGAGGAGATTAACTAGCGGGCGTAGAATACTGCAAGGGCCATATTCTTGGCCAATGATAAGCAACTAAATGGTCCGCTTGCGTTAGTTTGCCAAGACGGATACAGTTTCTTTTTACAGTGGAGCAGCAGCTCCGTATATTATAAAAGCAAAGCAGGCCTTCGTAAGGGATGCTGCGGTTGATTTTATATCTCCTTCAAATTCCAAAACAATGGATGCCGCAATGGATACAGCATCTTATCAGGTAAGATATTTGTTGATGTAAATCAGATGGCCAAGCTCATATAGTCAGATCCAAATCAATGATCAACCAGTCACCGTGATAGAGACCAAGCAGTTGGATCCGCAACGCAGCAGACTGTTACGCTTAAAAATCAAATCCGCGGTCGATCTGCCAGAAACAATAATCGTTAAACAAAAGCGAGAGTATGAAGAGGCGAACGAGTTCCAATGTGAGAAGGAAGCCTACGAGAGGTTACAAGAGCTTCAAGGGGTGGTAATTCCGATAATGCTTGGGGAAGGCCTATTCTGTGGAGTTCCAGCGCTATTTCTTTCGGAAGTTGATGGGAAAAATCTGCATGATCTGGCTCGCAACAGTGATTTGGATATTGAAATGGGAGCTTTGGAGGCTGAACTTGGATTATCGCTCGATGCATTTTCCAAGAAGGGGGCTGTCTATTGGGACCAGAGACTGGATAATTTCATGCTTTGCCAAAGTGGCAAGGTCATGGTCATCGATCTTGAGCACGTGAAGTTTCCTAAAACCCTTTTTCCTTGGGAAACTACCATTAACTCGGCTGGTGTGTCTTCCCTATTGAGCCGATTCAAAGACACTAGAGAGCCGAATCGCCCTTCAACCCCGGTGGCCTTTTGGAACAAAACGAAAATAGGCGAATCAGTTCCTTCTGTTTCTTTTCCAGCATTAGGATAGTCAGCATGAGAGAATTGCATTTTATTCAACTAGGTACTAGTCTGCGGTTGATTTAAGGATGCAGATATCTACCCCCTGATTCTTGTAACTTGATGCTGTCATTGCTTCTACCTAAGTATCTAGAATACTTCCATTTCTATGATCGTCATGAGCCTCTTCGCGTTTCCTTACGCGTTCAATGATTGTCCTATGCAGTATTCAAACCAGTGAATTTTGGAAACAAGCCTTCCCAATTTACCTTAGATATATTTTAGAGAACTCCGCATACTGTTAGCGACGATGAACCATATATTCTACAGGCTAATGTAACTTTAAGTAATCAAGACCGGGTACCCGCCGAACCTCCCTACGATGTGCTACCGCGCATGCCTACAAATTGTCTACTGTGTCATGCGGATAAATAACCGTCTGCCGGGCAAGTGACTTCATCCATCACATATCTTTTGCGGATTAACATCTTCAAGTAAGCTTCTTGTTGGGCATAATTTTGAATACCGTTCCAGGCTAATCTTGACAGCTCCGTTATAATCACCGTCTCATCACGACGACGTCGATCGAGCAGTTAGATCCAATTCGAAACAACGTCCACCGCTGCAAACTTGAACTTGTGATAGCCTTCCACTTTCGCCAATAACAAATTGGCGTGGGAATATTATGTTAAGGGGAAGAAAGAGCAAGCCACCATATACACTATTCCTGGCACAGCACACGCTGAGGATCTTACCAATCTCCCATCTACTTTGCTGCACGTGGGAATGGCAGACATCTTGTATATCGAGGGTTGTGTATTCGGCGACAAGCTTAGTAAAGCTGGAAACCCGGTCAGGACTGAGAAGTGGCAGGGATATCACTGTTTTGAGATTGAAGAAAGTCGCTTGCAGTGGCTAAAGGTGCTTTGGTCAACGTAACTTAGTTTGCAGTATTGATTGGAATGGGTAGGCCATTGCTTTCGCGATGGGAGTTTACGCGTTTTCTTGCGCGTAAGCTCGTGTCGTCTCGTTTGCGTTTTTTTGAAAGCTTAGCTTGGTGAAAATTGATAAGCTGTACACGCCCTGACCCTTTATTCCAGAGTACATGCGACTTGTGTAAATCTATGACACCTAAATGTCGAATCTCCTTTTCTGTTCGCTGATACTCACTCCACCGTTGCTTGTCGCAGCAGAGTAGATCAAACTCACAGCCACCCCAAGATAGAATGAGAAAGTGGGTGATCCGAGCACCTAGATAAAAATAATTCCGTTTAATATCAACAGTGCCAAGGCAAACAGGTACCGCAGATCCTTGAGCTGAATGCAGTACCTGATAAATATCTTCCTCTCGCCGAACGGCAGGCCACAGGGAATCAGTAGTTCCTTTCCCCAGAATCGTATAGCCATACGGCATCAGAGTTATCTTGAAAGGCACCGCGTGAGTCCCTGATTGTCCACACGGGGCGCAGTAGTGGTCTAGATCGTTATCAAGCTGCTGCTTGAGTAGATATAGAAATCTTGAAAGGCAGATTTGGTGATATTTGTTACATGCTTTTCGATGACGATCGACATTTGGGCAGTTTTCATCCAGCAAGCCCCGATTCTTCAACGACAGTAGACAGTGCTGAGTGCAAAAATCCATAGATTCTTGCGTAGACTGATTGGTTCGTTTATACTTCTGGCCGGATCGATGTTGGCGTTGCGGGGGGGAAGAGGAGAAGGTCAAGGCACGTTTTCGCGCAGTAGATTCGTGGTGTTGCGGGGAGTCTTCTGAATCGGAATCGTCAGGGCAGGAGACTTGATTTTCCTCCGGTCGACAGCCGATGCGCTTGCGAAGCTTTCTGTTAGAGGGAGCTAGTGGAGATGACGGTAGATATTCGGATCCAAGGGGACTAGAGTGCAGCTCGTCATCCGATAGTTGGTTCAGTATATCCTCAAAGTCGACTTCCCACTTATGGAGATTTGGAATGACTTCGCTCCGCCAGCGTTGGCTTCGATTCGGTGATTGTGTGCTCATCAGGCACAGGGTGAGAAGACGCCCTACAGCGGTGACCGGTGTATACATCCATTCATCGTCCCCCTGCTCTCGCATCGCTTCCACGTCCCGGTTGGGCTCCGCCAAGTAATACTCCAATGTGTCTGGCTGATCTTCCGGCACATGTAGAAAAACCTGACAGCTGCCCGTTGTCAGACAACCAAAGGCCGAGCCGCTATTCATCATGTCATCATAGGCATGAACGATTCCAGACCCTGTCAACAGCTCCGCATGATATGACAGTCTTTTATCATCCTCCAATGGAATAGTCACGCGCTGAACAACTTCCTTCCAAAATTCCATCCGTCGAAGGCCTGCCCGGAGATATCTATCGCTTAACTTTCTGCCATCTTTATATTCTATGGTAAAAAGCAGGCTCCGAACTTCGTCTTTTCGGAAGACACAGAACTGATCGGGAATAGAGCGCTTTCGTCCTCGATCCTTCGCGGAGTTGGTTTCATCGTCATTAAGAACATTCGCATGGTTTTCGAACTCAATTCCCTCACCGAGGGGGAATATTTCAGAACAGGACCGTAAAACATCAATTATCTCCCTGGCAAGGTCCTCCACTCCGAAATGCTGGTAGCCTCGTAAAGCTTCTTCGTTTCCATAGGGACGGCGGCACAGGCGCCGGCCTAGTTCCCTGATAGCGGATCTAGAGGAGAATAAACGAGGATTGGGGAGCGATTCCAGCAGCTGGAACACGGTTTCGTAGATCTCAGTCTGTCGCTGGTGGAAGCCTTCCCACGGTCGTAAATAGGTCGGGCATAAACGACCTTTCGGACTTGTCAACGAGCCTCCCGTGGATCGGACTATGTTCGTTCCGATTTGTAGCAGCTCGGATATGTATACTTGAGAATTCTCGATAAAGTCAATAAATGTCATAGGTTGTGAATCGTTTCTTAACAGGTCCCGTTCGGTCTCGATCTCTGCTCGCTCTCGTTCGGCCTCTGCTCGCTCCCTTGCTCGCTCTTTTTTTGATTGTTGGTAGAGTTCTTTATAATCTGGAGATTGATCCATGGTGGAGATCATGTCGGTTTCAAGTTGTCGGTTTCAAGTCATCTGGGGCTGGTTACTTGCTCATTCCAGTGTTGGTAGCTGTCAGCCATCTCGCTATCCTCATTTGGACTAGTTGCAACCAGGCAACAACCGAACGGGGTCCAGCCAGTCTTGGCATGGTACCGATACGGATCTGCCAGGGTCGAAACGGTTCGGACGGATCCGTTCTTCGCAAATCGTCCGTCTTGGTTTCTCCTGGTGTCGAGGAGATGAACTACACCGGCCGAAGGGGGCCGCTTGCCGGCATATCAATTCGTGTTTGTATATATAAGAGGATAGATACCTGTCATACAAGTTTAGATGGCCGCAGCCTTGGAATACATAATGTTTTTCTTGGGGGTCATAACTAGCCTTTTGTCATTGACATATGCTGCTCGCCACAACCACCGCCACAGAGCGGTTGCACAGCAGCCAAGTTCAACCATCAAAGCCTCGCCTGCTATTCCCACGAACTCCGGTTCCAGTGTTCCTATTACGATTGGGAACAATGGGTGTGTAAGTCCTGAATCCAAAGCCAGTAGAGTATACTATTAACTCAAGTAGCTTGATTGGCTTGATTGAAATAGGCTCGCCTGGACAAATGATGGATGTCCAGTTTGATACCACATTCAATGGAGTAATGGTTCAATCTACTCTGGACGAGTCTATTATAGGCGCTGGTCTTACTTATAATCGCAGCGACTCCGCGTCATATAATGTTTCCTTACCTTGGAATATTATGGGTGGCCTGATGACAGAGTACACGCAGAAATTTGACAATGACGCCTATGCTATAGCGTATCCTGGCAAGGAGACATTCAATATTGGGGGCACGCTTTACTCTGGCATCCCATTTGGCCAACTTATACAGTATTATCAGAAAACTAGTGGCCAGATTATGCCCTTTGGCGGAGCAAGCGGTATTATTGGTTTGAATTATGGATCGGAACAGCAGCCTGGGATACAAAGTTTCATGTTTGCAATTCATGATCAGCTATCAGGTAAGCCTCAGTTCAAAGCTCTAGGTGACCATGCATTTACGTTAAGCCTAGAATGGAAATGTGCCCTTGACTCATCTCGCGCATGGAAAAATGGCACTTGGACCTTTGGAAGCCTAGAAAGCCTAGGTAACCGTGATAGTATCGCATGGGCGGATCGGAATTTCTATCCGCCTACATGGAGTATCAATATTACAGCAATATCAGCTGGCACCAGAAAGGATCCTCCAATCACTACCTGGTCTGCAACAGTGGCGACCGAAGAGCAGTCCCTTATTTGGCCGCAAAAGCTCCTAGACTGGTACTTTGCGGATATTGACTCTACATGGTCTCCAGCAGATAATACATATCGCTACCCATGCAATGCAACCCTTCCTGACTTTACATTCGGCATTGGTAATGGGACATTCACAATTCCTAGTACTTATATGCCATACCAGCGTGACCAAGCTGGTACTACTTGCATTTCTATCATCACAGGGGACAACTCTACAGACCCGGGTCACGAATACACCTTTGGTTCCTGGTGGGCCCAACTGGGGGTGTTGATCCTTGACTACGAGCATACCCAGGTGGGATTTATGAATAAGTCGACGCCACTACCGACCTTTGGTACCTCTTCCTTGGAAAAGGTTGCAATGAACTAGTCAGTTTCGAGTTCTTGTTCAAAGTTGTTGGTCAAACCACTTGATAAATTCTTGTTAGCTTATTCTTTAGCTTATAATCTTAATATGCTTCCAATTACTGTTATCCATGGCGCTCTGACAAGAATCCAAAGTAAGACCATCATCTCACAACGCATTAGAATTTCGTTGTTTTCTAAATATTGCGAACCACGGGCGACAGGAGAATATAAAGCGACAGAAGATGGAAGAATAACAATTGATCTGACTTATTATTACATATAAGGTTGCTCATAATTTCCTTTCAGCGTTTGGCAAGGCAAAGGAGCTTACAGGACAATGACAGGACATTGGAGTTTCAATGTGAGATGGAATTAATACAATCTAAAGAATTTCTTCTACTAGGAAAGCAAATCGGCCAGTATATGTTGTATCCACTTCACTTTTTGAGTAATAGGCACTTTCCGAGAGACTGAGACCAATTCAGTACACTATAGGAAATAAAAGATTGGGGCTTCTCACTCTAAGTTATATCTGATCTAATGCCAGTTCGCTGCAAGGGAGTATTTTATGCGATCCCAAAATGTATGATCAAGGTTCTCCTCGGCTCCCTGTGATATAAAATAATACCATAGTTGATGCATCATGTCTTCTTCAGGGCCAGTATACATCAACCAGAAGAGTGGTGTTCCCCATTCATCGTCTTCTGCGTTGATTTCTGCACCATAATCAATGAGCAGCTTAGCAGCCTTGAGTTGGCAATACTCTGCTGCCCAAGATAATGGAGTTCGGCGAGTCAAGTCACTCCTATCCACCTCTGCGCCACGTTGAATGAGAAGCTCCATTATTTGCGTATGGCCATGGAGCGCGGCATATGACAATATCGGCTTTTCTTGGTATTGCTCATCATTTAGATGACGAGCATTAGGATGCACTCCATTATCCAGGTATTCTTGGACAACAGGTAAATCCCCCTTTTTAATACAATAAATTACTGTAGAGTTGAGAGGATGAACTAAAATAAATAAGTACCGTAGAATGATTCCTTAGTTGGCTACGCATCAACGTGAGCAGGAGGGAGACTAAAGAAATCGATTGAATATCAGTAAGGTGCATCTTTCACTCCTCAATATTACTGGAAACCAGCACCTTGAAGACTGGCATGCCGTGTTCTGGCGCGGAAGAAGCATCAGTGCTGACCCAAAGAAAGATACCCCTCTCGCCTAACATCACCAACGTACATTGATATACTGCAATGTGCCTTCAATCACAAGCTCATGAAATTAGAAATTTTGCATCATATCAGTCTCTTCTGTAGTTATGCCACAATTCCCAATCATCTCTGGTGTTATGGAAATGCATGTCTGAAGTTGAGCGCTAACAAGATTGTCCTAAATTTCTAATCCCTATGAGCTATGCTAAACCATTCTTTCTAGCTTTCTTTACTCTGAAACGTTTAAAGCTTAGCATGCCCCGGCTTTGACTAGGGCGCAAACGCATAATCGGCACCAATAGCCACCAAAACTGGATGGCTTTGAGACCCGTTACTTATGTTTCTCGAAACATAACCATAGGTATAGCTGTTGCCTATACTACAGGCGTCGGAGACCTGCTTGGCGGGTTGAATAAGATTTCCACACCTCGTCTCTATGTCCTGACTTTCCTGTACGCTCAAATCAATAATCTGGATATGAAGATTGCTAGTCTTTATACATACAAAGTTGCAGAAGAATATTGAGGATTCCCCTTCATGAGACACACGCGCACAACTAGCTGCAGGCGCACTGCACGTAATATTAGCAACATCGGAGAGATGGCCAATGTTGGTGACTGTCTCATTAACATGGGCCAACCCATATTGAAAGGAGCAAGTTGGCTTGGCATCCTGCAGACATGTGCCCATTAGCTTTGTTATAGCCAAGGTCGATAATACTTACAGATGCTCGCGGGAGGGAACTCTTATCATAGCGAGGGGTTGCTGCTGTGTAGGTAGTCGTATTCAAGACCTTTGCTGTCAGATATCACTCAGAGTTTTCGGTGTAGGATAGGTTGACTTACCATTTTGTTACGAGAAGCGCCTTCGACAACGCCCGTCTAGAGAAACAGTCAGCAGGAGAAAAGAAATAGTCTCTGCTGATGACATGCACAGCTCACTGACCGCCGTAAAGATTATGCAAAGAATAATTGAGTCCAACTTCATTGTGTCTTGTTGTGTTGAAGTTCCTATGGGTGCTGCGTGTCTCTTAAGTCAGGTATAAATAGTTGATGAGTAGCCATAGGACAATCATTGTATTTTATTTTCAAGTGGTACTACTCTGTGGACTACTAATGAGTACACAGGAACACCAATGATTGCAAACAGGAACACGCAGTGACACCAAACGGGAACACGCAGTGACACCAAACGGGAACACGCAGTGACACCAAACGGGAACACGCAGTGACACCAAACGGGAACACGCAGTGACACTACATGGGATTACTACTGTGCTCAACAGGAGCAACCTGTCTTATGCGCGATTATTGTTTAGGTTTCAGAAGTCAGCTACTGATATCTACCCGCATGGTGTTCTTGATTGATCTCATTCTGTTGCGTTGGATTTCCTAAGACTTGTTGACCAATGAGAACATGTTCTAGGGTCGATCTTTGCGAGACTGGGCCCACATGACTGGTAGATATTATTAGCTCGTTATTCTCGGAATAGCCGCAACAAGTCTATTAGGACGGTCGAAACTGCAATGTTTTTAACATGATTTGAGATACTAATAATGAATCGTGGATTTTATCTCCCACCACATTCCTACAACCTCTTCAGCTGTACTAAAAGTGATAGAAAAGCTCTACAAGTTACAGAACCATGGATCACCACGACCAATTCTTGACAGAAATTATTACAGAGATTGAAAAGAAGGGTCAGAGTCCCTGGTAGGCTTCCAGTCTCTCCTAGCTGATGTGATGACTAACAAACCAAGTCCCCAGTGCCAATCACATCTTACGCGTGAATGTTTCCAACAAGGCCACTTTGACTGGTGCATCACCCACCAGAGCACGGCTGTCGTAGACGACGAGGTCTGTACCCATGCGAAGGCAAAGCGAAGCGCTTGCAGTATCGCAATGTGGGTTGATTTGCCGCACATCGCTCATGAATCTACTTGAGTCACACAGTGGCTGCCTACAGCCGTAATATACTTGCCAAAATTACAGAAACGAACGACTGAAACAAACGGGAAGGAAAATGGCTTGATCAATAGGATATGGGTTACTCTGTGGTTGCAAATGATTCAGGGTAAGGGCTATTTATGAAATGGAGCTTCATGGTGTCAAATTTTTCCAGCTTGAAAAGTTATATGTTCATCCTTGGAATATCTTAATAAAAGCTTTTTTCCCCATCGTACCCTCGAAGCCATCTGTTATTAAAATCAATGAGTGCGTCTCTTGCTCAACCTGACAATAGCACAAAAAGAATTGACCGCAGTGGCGCCATGAATGCACACTGTTCAATTGAGGATTGTCAGCGTTTCCTTATGCTATGCGTCATATAGTGATGTTCCCAAATGGGTGTTGGGAAGCAAGTGCTAGTTGCCTTTGAGGGCAGATCAGGTGAGATCATTTCAAATACTGGCACAGCCTATCGTTACCTGCAAAAAAGCAATTTTCCTGGTTTGAGAACAATATGTTTCGTGAACTAGGATGCGTTTTTTCTACCTGATCTAATATACATTTCATTAAGCACAGCTTTGCTCTGACTTAGTACTCAGAAAAGCTGAAGTTCATGAGTTTCCCCTGAATTCACGTTTGCGGCTTCGGCTATAATTTTGCACGCCATTTGACGCAACACATGCCATAAGCCCACTTACAATATCCATGTTCATGTGTTCTGAGCTCAGCACGGTATCCCATGATCCAATATCAAAGCCGTTGGATATTCGTCTAAAGTTCCAGACCACTCGGGTGCCACAACTCCAGGCATCGCGCTGTTGTGGTGTAGGCTACGCAGGTCAGTGTTGGATCTACTAGATGAAGTAAGTCAAATGCTTACCGCTTCGGTATATCTATATCCTAAGTCACCGAATTCGTCCTGTTATATCATTAGCAAATGGGCCCAGCAACTCGCGGACCAACTTACCTCGACCAGAGCTGCGATTCTTGTCTTTTTCGTACCATTGATAGCGGTGACTGGTGCTAGTGAGTCATAATGTCGAATCACTTTCTCACTATCATTAACTTCCAGCAGCGTGAAATGTGAATTATTGTGATTGACGGGACAGTAGAATATGAGAGGCGTGCTGCCTTCTGCTTCTTTTCGGAACACTGCGATCTGTTTCACCCAAGCCTGAAAAGGCTGCTTGATCGATCGCGGCTGGCCGTGTCTTCCGATGGTATCCAATGGAACACTTTCGCCATACCTGACGAAATCTGGCCGGTCCGAAATATGCATGGCTGCCATGAGGGCCCAAGAATCGAGCCATTTCCCTGCTTGAAGCCGCGCGAATAAATCGACCGAGAGTTCCACACTCCCGTTGATTGAGATCGTGTCGTTTGCATCCAGTTTCTGCTTGTTGAACACTTGAGCGCTGACTTGACTGGTTAGTCGATCGACTGCTTTACTCAATGTGACTGCGGAAGTGGAGCCCTGTCAATTATTAGTCCAGCCCTAACCCCAGAAGCTATATGTTCCCAGGGAGTTCTTACAGATTGTGGCTGATATTTTGCTTTCATCTCTTGCAATTCGTCTTCAGAGACGAGATTGCTCTCTCTTAAAGCTCCGTACAACGCTTCCGGATCCGTGCAGCCTTTGTGGACCAGTCGTTCCACCTGTGGTGCAAGTATTTGAAATAGTAACAATCGTTGAGTATCTGCTCTGAAATCCTTGACTAGCTGGTTGAACTGGGGTCCCTTTCTCTTGGTATAATCCCTGAGTGCATGGTAAGCATAAGAAATAGAAATAAACTAATTCGTTGAAACTTACCAAATCTTGGGGCTAATCAATATCCCTAGTCCGATCTTTTCGACAAGCTCGCGCAACCTTTTCCCCCTGGAGCATTGATTAATAATGGTCTTTCTACTCAGCAAGCTATGCTCCCGGGTGATGCGGTCCAGCACATGTATTGCCGCCCCCCTCTCACCCACAGCCTTATTGTCCTTAGTAAACACTGTATGCTTCGCCACTTCAATCTGGCCGTCATACCATTTTGAGGCCCCCATATACTCTAGCATGTTGAGTACGGTACACCGACGATTTGTGGCAGATCCTCTCTCCAGTACCTCCATCCACATCCTCCCGTCTGACCATTGATTGGTTGTTGAGTCAATGAACAACTCCTGGTGGGTGTAAAGACTTTGCAGGATTTTTTGATGAACAGTGCGCGGCACATCGCTCGGATACTTTTTGAGCAGGTGAACAATGTCGACCATTTGGTGCACGGTATCCAGAAAGGACTCACCCTCGGTGAGATGCGCTTCGGGCACGGGTGGCGATTCTACCTGCTCCCCAATGGTGGACGTTGGCATTGTGCTATGATGACTGTTCTCGCTTTCACAAAATTTCCCTTCATCTATGACAAGCATCCTCGAGTGAACGCCGGGCTTCCTCTCATGCTTAGAGACGGATTTGAGTTCACCCATGTCAACACAGATCGTAGAGTCCAGTGCATCATCGATTTCAGGACTTTCGCCTTTGGGAATTGGACTCTCAGGAGTCATGGGCTCATCCACTGCGTGTTTATCGTCGGTACGTTGCCTTTTCCTTGGAACGAACTGCACCGGGTGATTTGGCCGATAGGATGGATCCTGTCTCCGTTTTCGTTTCAAGGATAAGCGAAGAGACGGGTCCGGAATATTTTCTCGAATTGCCGCAGCAATGGCTTGCGCAACGGCCGGTGCCTCTTGGAAAAGTTGGTGGAAAAGGTCCCGAAACTATTCCATCAGCTGGCTTCTCATGTGGTAGTGGTCCAAGTCATACCTCAGGCACGCTATCTGCACCCTCACTTTTGTCGGCCAACTGCCGGAACATTTCAGATAGCTCAAGGAGCGAACGCGTCCTTTGGCTAGGCGAGGGTGTTGTTTGTGAGCTGGAGATAGCGGAGTCCATTTCTGGTAGAGGTCAACGATGGGAAAGAAACAAAAGGACGAACGGGCAGAAGTGCGGTCGGAGGCCTCTTTATAGCCGTACAAACCAAGATTCTAGCATCCTGGGATGCCGAAATCTAAATCCCAGCTATAACTAATCAGGAATTCAGCTGATGGCCCAGAAGACAGCTCGGTAGAATAGCACCAATAATGACTCGCCATCGGGTTATACCAGTACATCTCGGGCATGGACGCGTCGTGGACGGCCCCAAGGCGCACTCGAGACTAGATGATGCCTGCTTTGGGGTTTAGTGGATCACTTCGACGAATGTTACGAAGCTGATGATTGATGGAGAAATCAACACCGCCCCTTTCAGTCTCCTCCTGCGCCTGGGTTAGATGTAACGGAGTAACGTTGGTTTCGTCATCGGCTTAGACTTTGTCCACACATGGGCTGTGAATTCACTCCACTCCACGGTTTTGAGTGACTCGCACTGGACGTTCCGACCTATCAATATAATAGTGTTCCGTTATCACCTCGTCTAATATCCACTGCAGTCTGAAGTCAAACCCCGAGGCCGAGCTGATCGGCAGATATCAACGAGACGGGAGGTGTGCCGAGGCTCCTTGGGTGAGATTTCGACTCCAGTGTTGCGAAAGTCCTTCCTTAGAATCTTGTGCTCCGATCCTTATCATGTGTGCACTCGCATTCCGCTTTTTTGACTGTACCAAACGTAATAGAAATCACGGATCATGACAAGCAGTTCTGATCAATTTTCTTTACGGGAACCATTACAGTGATCAATCATCTTGGTTAGCTTCCAGTTTATATAGCTAATGAAACGGCTAATAGACCAAATCCCTAGTGCATACGACCGCTTACAGGCGAGTGTTTCAAGCATGAATACTTCGACTCGTGCGTCAGCCACCAGAGAACGGCTATCAGAGATCACGGAATCTGTACCCATCCGGAGGGAAAGAGTAGGGCTTGCAGAACGCTTTGAGAGAGGTCCATGGTGGGAGAGAAGTGAAGAAAGAGATGGCAGAAGTGTAAATGTAAGTTTATTTATAACCATACAGCTCAATTTTCAGCATCCTAGGATGCCGAAATCCGAGTCCTGCCTGCGCAGCCACAACCCACCAAAGGATCCAACCATTGGCACAGTAAAATAGATCGCTGAAATAGAACCAATAGAAAGTTGCTACCAGCGCATTTTCCACGCCGTGATTTCACTCTATATCTTGGCAAGGCGTAATCATGATGGCAGCAGGCGGCGCTTATTGCAAAACGCTCATCAGAATGTATTCCTCAGCTAACAAATTAGTCAAAATATCACTTCTTTAGGTTTTCTCGTGGTGAGAACTTGATCATGAATAAGCGAATAAATTCAAAGTTAGATTATTTTAAACATGTTCCACACCCTTTCAGAGAAAGATAACAAATTGTTAAAGATATTGAAGCGGAAACGGGTGTGAAATATTTCAAGAGCGAGATTGTATCAATGAACTACCAGAGTAAACGCTCTTCAATCCACGCATTTAACCATTCAGCCCAAACCGTGCACATGTTTGGCATGGTGACATTCCATATGCAGATTGTGGTAGCTCCGAGTTAACAGACGCGGGGAGACTCTCTTTATCTGACCCCTTCGTCATATCCTCACTGCCAGTTTTTTCATTACTGAACCTTGAGCATCCAACGAAACCTGTTGTTCGCACAAATGAAAGCAAACCACCGAGCGACGATAAATACCAGGAATTCTGGCTTAACTTGAGGAATGGATGCTATATAGCCATAAGCTACATTGACCTATAACTTCCACGAATGATTCGTACCTTTAGGAGTGTTCGAGGATCAACAGTGCTTGGCATGGTGACGAAGTTCTTTGCTATAACCCATGACATGCTGGTCGTATCTGAGCTGCTATCGAGACTAAGCAGTTGACCGGCAATCTGGAAAACCGCTTGCACATCGCGAGGAACATCTTTCGTATTTCCTATTTGCATCATACTCTTCCCAATATCCCCTACAGAGGCATTAGCGGGATAGCCCATAGACCTTCACGGGAGGGATGATTTGCCAATTTTGATTTCGCCTTCGTCATTGAGATAGATTCCATCACAATGCAAGTGGCCATGGCTGACATTGAGAGCCTCATGAATATAGATTAGTCCGTGTAACAACTACTAAAGCATTAGCCGTCTTTTCAGAGATTGGGATGTATTTGAGATACTTTTTTGCAGATTGTCGCCACTGCGATTCGATCCAACATTTGGGAGTTTTTGAGTTTGGCCAACGATATTCCTGGCCTCTCATAATGTAGAAATAATTTATCTCCGCAGACTGTAATATCCAAGAGGTTCAGCAGGTTCGGATGATTGGTTCGCAGCACAGGATTGGATCTTTCGTCCACAGCATCGAGGTCCATTTTTTGGAGAAAGGTCGGTCGGCACGGAACGTCGCCTATCTCCATTCCATAGAAGCCCTCACCGTATTCTTCTGGGGAAAAGTTGGTAAGAATGGTATCGATTCGCGAATAGGGAGGCTTTTTGGAACTGTCAATCAGCGACTGAATCGTCCTCCTTTCATGCATAACCTCATCGTTATTGGAGTCCCGAGCCAAATTTGATGGAAGAGTGGTCGCCTTGTGCACAAAAATAGATACTTCACCATGTAGAGCCATTTTGAGTAAGTGATGCTCATTATAAACTGGGAAGTTTTTGAGAATGGTCGCAGAGAGATAAGCGGCTTATATACTCAAGGTTAACGCTTTATTTGAAAACCTTGGAGAAAGTGGCTCACAACAGCTTTAAATCGAAATCCCAACCCCTGAGGATAACGATTTTATGACACCAGATTGAAACGAACACATATCCTCGGATTGTATCGGTCAGATTCAGGGATCAAGAAAATACAAAATGAGCTGATCATTACCGATAAGTAAACTCAAACGTATAGGTTCAACTTCATTGACACCAACTTGAACCCTCACCAACTCGGATTTATTATCAAGTCAAATCGACAACAAGTCGAAATGATACAGACCTAGACTGAGAGCAACCTAGACTGACCTTACCGAGCGGACTCTAGGTTTATTTATAGATACCAGAATGCCTCCATCAACTGTCACAGTAGTAGTTGTTGTGCTGTTCTAGTTCCAACACATTATTTCGGAAGAAAGAGATCGTATCCTAGAATATTGTCTTATAACAAATGTAAATATGGCTCCTAGCTTGAATAATTCTTCAGGCATTCTAAGATGTTACCTAAATACTCAATTTGACCATGTTTATTTTTCAAACTATAGTAGTATACATGCAGACTTAAAAAACTTGAAATCGTCGCGGACTTGCAGATAATAAAAGTTTGTGATCCTGAATGGTCATTGATTAGTCATCATGTCCCAGTGGAATACGGATCTGCTAACTATTTAAGTGAGCAACAAGACATAACGCGAAGAAACGAAAGAACATATCCCTAGTTCTTCTAAATATATCCCTGCTTAGGGTAAGTACGTCACGTGCCATGGTCACGTGATTTCATGGAAACTGACACTAAGTCGTTCTAGCACCAACGCGTGCTTACAACGACTCGCACTGACAGTGTATGTTCATTTTTAGAGTCAGCATGCGCTCCCATTCGATGCTAATGGACCATCTGGTGCGGTAAAATATCCCGTTTGGTGCCGTATGCACCGTCTGGTGCGGTAAGAAATCCCCTTCTGTAACTGTTTTCAATATATACCCCGTTCCGCCTGTCGGGCTGTTGCATACTTTTCACTACCCAGGTCTCGAAGATGATTCATTTATGACTTTAGTGAGTTGCGATTTCTTGAGAGCATCACAATGACACTACTGACTAAACAGACCGATGAAGATGGTGAGGGAGAACACTTCTCGTACTACTACGAATATCACATGCTTCATTACATCACAGTAAGTTACATTATCTAAGAATTTGTACATGCTTGCTAAATTCACATCAAAAGGCATCAATACCTACAATCAATGAATTTTGAGCCAGTTTATGTCAATCTCGAGCCTTTCTTCGTAGAGCACAAATGAATCATCTTTGAGACCTAATATCATTGCTGAACCGGATTTTCGTAGCGGAAGCATTAGAGTTTCCAATGTTTCTTTCTAACCCTTCTCCAATCTTGATGCAGGGGAGCTAGTCGACCGAATTGCGTATTCCATGTATGAGATTCATCAACCGGCCAAAACTGGTAATGTACGTCCTCAGCACCAGTGATTGTCGGATGCACCAGTTCAATTCGTGAAACTCGTCTGCCTTCGAGTCTGCCTTTGAGAATAGGTTCCTCAACCGCTTGATAATTGGTCTCTCTCGAAGGATGAAACCGTTCAGGCGGTGGAGGGGTCAAGACTGTGACGCGACCCTGGTCTTGTGCGATGTGGTACGCAAAAAGCGCAGAGGCACCCTGCATATATCTGCTCCACTTTTTACGGTCGAGTCTCAAACGCAAACATCGCGGATCTTCACGTTCCATCAGTGGTCCCATTGCTGTAGTCAAGGTCTGCATTTGATGCCGGTCGGCCCATTCCTGTACTACTGCATGAGGAATGCCACTCCACATGACCTGCTTATTGGGCGACCAATCCGAATGGAACTGTTCGCAAATTTGGGCTAGTTCCTCGGTCGTGAAATAATGGTAGAAGTAATCAACTCCTAATGACGAACACATACAGAGCTTAGTACTAGGTAGTTGTAGTAGATAAAACACGGTTACACCACATTGTTGGGTTACAATATGTGACTGCTGTTCGAGATATGAAGTACTTCTGTTATAAGTAGTTGAGTGGCAAAACAACCCACCGCATCAATGTCATTCCGCATCCGCTCCAGAAACGAACTGGACGTATGGTTTCGCCCAAGGTCGTGGTTTTATTGGAGGTTGGGGCGGGGCACCGAACCATATGTGATGTTTATATGAACAAAGGACTAACTATCACGATGATTGAAAAGATAAAGACAATAAACCATGAATCAGCCAATATTCAACTAGGATACCCATTACAGATATACTTGTCCTTGCTTTAAGCAAAAGGCATCTTCCGAACGATTTTGTCTATTTTTCTTTGGTCGATCAAGTCATGATGACCAAGATCGGAAGTTATTATCAGCTCGTTATTCCCGGAGCGGCCGCATTTAGTCTACTCGAGCAGTCGAATCTGCAATAAGTCAAGCATGATTTGATCACAATTGACTATGCTCTTTATTCTCCGATATTTCCCCCAAGTCCTTCGTTTATATGGAATGTGATAGAAAAGCCCACAAAGGTGCAGAATCATGGATCACGACCACCAGTTCTTTACAGAAATCGTTACAGAGATCGAGAGATGGTGGCAGAGTCCCTGGTAGGTTTCTAGTCCATCCTATCCGGTGTAACCGCTGACAGAGCAAGTCCCCAGTCTCGTTCGCAACTGACCGGCATATGTTTCAAACGCCGCCACTTTGACTGGTGCATCAGAGCACGGCTGTCGTAGGTGCCGATGCCTGTATACATTTGGAGGCGAAGCGAGGTGCTTGTAGCATCGCGATGTGGGTGGATCCGGTACATATATATCATGAATCTGTTTGAGTTACACTGCGACTCCCTGCCCTTTCCAGAATCCAAAGTTCTACAAACGAACGAGGAGAGCAAACGGAAAGGAAAGTGACTCAATCGAGCGGTGGGTAAATGTGTGGCTAGCTATGCCAAGAACTCAGGTTATATTTTGTGACATAAAGCTCCCTGATGAGGAACTTCTTTTCAAAAGTTCTTTTTCATTCTCTAGAGAGATTTCACAACAGCTTTTTTTTTCCCATGCCACCTTAGTGTTGAGATTAAAGTGTTGCATACCCTTTTTCAATCTGACAAGAATTGACCAAATACGACACAACCGGTGCTTTATTCGCTCTATCAATACTACACCAGCCTCATGGATGCTCATCGTTCGATCGAAGATTATCAGCATTTCCTAGTGGAACTGTACGAGACCCTCGAGCAACAGCTGGATGAAGCCAAGAGTAAGTAATTCCAGCGGTCAGTGTGCTGTTAGCTAACTAGAGGGGTATAGAATCAGCTGAAGTCCAGCAGGAAGCAATGGCCCGGAGACATCATTTTACGTTGAAAACTGTGGAGGGACCTCTTCTCACCATCTGTCTGTCATCCGACAGTAGCGTCTTGCGTATAGCTACCCAGGATGACGAATTTGACTTGATTTCGGCAAAGCGGACCCAGTAATGTGAAAAATCGCGCCACCCCAGTACGGAGTCTTCTCTCAATTCTACTTTTGATTATCAAGAGAAGGAAAGAGAGATAAAGAGATGTTGAGAGCGAGAGACGCTACCCTTATCAATTTCAGCTACTTATCTCCACTCGGTCTCGTAGCTGAAATCGATATTGCTTTCATCGATAGCACTCCTTTAAAGCAAAAGGATGTCTTCTGCGGCACCGCTACGCTTCCTACCTAGTATTATATGTCTTTTTCGTGCGAGTGATTTGACATTCTGTATACATAGCAGAGCTTGATGAAATGTGGAAAATTCTTCAGTCTTCTTTCATAGGCTATTTCGACAGGAATAGTCAGCTTGGATAGCTGTGACAGATGGCTTGCCTCTCATCAATCTCTGAGCCTAGAAGAAGGTGATGATCAAAATCTCAACGAATGAAAACACCGGGCTTCCCCCAAAAACTAAGCTATGGTAGATCCAGGCGTTGTTTGAATTGAGATCAGCTACCAGACCCCATATTCATTGGCTAGGACGTATAGTTCAGCTTGTCCGAGTAAGACAGGGTTGAAGTCTTGCCCAGGCAACCGGCAAATATTTAGTCCAGATGCTTCTTTCTCGATATGGTAGTTCGCTGTCATTATAAGAAGCGCTCTCGGGTTGAGGCTCTGAATCTCTACATTCATCTGCCACAGGCTCATCTCAGGTTCAGGACATTACTGAGCAAAGAGTTGGCAAAGATGGTTTAGCGAGGCTCGTAAGGAGCGTCCAGATATTTCTGAAAACTGTATCCTAACCTGTCAAATCCTTTAAGTCTATATTCGAGTCTGATTCATTTAGATAAGGTCAACTCACCACGCAATTCACAGAACTCCCGATTCATCAGACCGACCTTCGGTTTCGGCATCCTAGGATGCTAGAATCGGGCTATAAGCCAATCAAAACGGGTAATGCTCCGACACGATTCGGCAGTCACATACAGTGTCACTATCAATGACGCATCAGTGAGCTAGCCAGGAAAGTTAGTTGGATTTCTACCGCACTACTGTATGTAGATACAGTATAGTGTTCATCTCCTGCCGAAAAAAAAAAACTTCATTAAGCATATTTTTTCATCTGCAATTTAAAAATGGGTCTCTCAGATCTTGAAGGTGTGACGAGGAATATCCTCGGCTCGGGAAAATATGGAGATACGACAATAATTTGTGAGGAACGAATTTTGAGGTACACCTTCGCAGTTACGCTACTTTGATGCTGCGTTGAATCATGGGTTTGGGGTACATGAAATAATCGCAACAGCAAGAGAACTACGGATTTTGATACCCTGATTATCTCTTGCCCTTCCTCTAGTGCTTGTCACCACCGCCTTAGCAGACAGAGGCCGGAGTGTTGTCTACTGTGGTCAGAATACAAATGATACCCAATTATCCGCTTATTGTACCCCCCAAGCTGTGTGGATCTGGTAGTTCTTTCCCTCCTATCCGCATTTGGCAATGGTCAGACCATCGCATCAGGCAACATTGGACCATGCTCTATCTCTTCAGTTGGCGAGCCTCAGGGTTCTTTCAACTCACTGCCAAACAATCCCTTCAAGCAAACATGGCACATGTCAATTTTCTATTCCCACCGAATACGAGGTCTTCACCGCAATAGTATCTCAATATGCATGCTATGGAGGTTCTGACTTGGCAGGTATAAGAAGGCTCTTCATCAGTATTCATTGTTGTTCAATTTCTCGAATCTCGACCATCCAACGCTGTTGCCTGAGTACCTGCAAACAGTGTCCAGAGCCCCGACAAATACCAGGAATCCTGACTTATTCTAAAAAAAGGATGCTATATAATCGTTAGCTTCATAAAGTACAGTCTATTGCTAAAGTTTCGTACCGTTAGAACAGTTCGAGGATCAATATTGCTCCTTTGGGCGACGAAGCTCCTAGCCATTATCAATGACAGACTGATCGCATCTGAACTGCCATTAAGATTGAGAAACTGATCGGCGATCTTGTAAACGGCCTGCACGTCGCAAGAAACATCTTTTGTCTTTCCTACTTGGAGCATGCTCTTCCCAATATCTCCTACTTGAGGCATCAGCGGAATGGTAGTGAATCGTCTCTGGTGAATTCAATTACCGATTTTAATTTCGCCATCGTCATTAAGATAGATATTATCACAATGCAAGTTGCCATGGCCAATATCGAGAACCTCATGAATATAGATTAACCCGTGTAATATCTATGCAATATTAGTCATTGTTTCTCATGTGGGAAAGAGTATCTTGAATACCTCTCTGCAGATTGTCGCCACTTCAATTCGATCAAGGATCTTAAATTGCCGGATTTGGGTTAAGGATATTCCTGGCTTCTCATAATGCAGAAGGACATCACCTTCACAAGCCGAAATACCGAGGAGATTCTGTAGATTGGGGTGATTGGTTCGCGGCACAGAATCGAATCTTCCCTCCACAGAATCACGTTTCATTTTTTGGAGAGAGGTTGGTTGGCAAGAGACGGGGCCTATATCTATTCCAAAGTGTTCTCCATTTTTTCTTTCGAAATTGATGACAAGGGGACGATATCCAGGATATGAACACTTTCCGTGTCCTAGCAAATGAGTAGTCTTTCTCTCGTGATGAGTTTCCTTGTTCTGGGAGTCTTGAGCCAAATTTGGCGGGCAACGGGACGCCTTGCCCTCGGAAAGAAATATTCCACCCTGCATGCTCATTTTGAGTAGGCTAGGATCATCAGGATCTAGGAAATATTTGAGTGTGGGCGTGGGAAGATGGTAGGATTATATGGTTGATTTCAAGGCTCATGAACTGAGTGAATCGTGGCCTTGCTATAAACAGTAAAATGAACGAGAGTCTAAAGTTTCAACCCTGCCTGAACAATCGGGCGACCCCAAAGAGTGATGCCGAGCGGGAACAGCAGGGCGACCCCGAAACGGGAGCGGTCCACCTACATCGAACGGTAACGACCCAATAATCTAATACATCAGACAGAGCGCTTCGGGTTCAGTACAGAGCTATCTTTCGACATTCATGCGCTTGCAATAAACTCTTTGATTCTGGGGATTTTGATCACATGGATATAGTTCATTTCTGCGCGTTTCGATGTTAGTGACATTCCCATTGAATCTCGGTAACGATCCGTTTGGTGAAATTTGGTGCTACGAACCGTTTAGAATCGTTGTGTAAGGGTTCTCAAGAATCCCGAGGAGAAGTAGCAATCGATAAGGATTAGACTAAGATTAAAATACACCTGGTAACAAGACATAACGCGAAGAAAGAAAGTAAAGTCAACAAAACGTATCCCTAGTTTTTCCATCATATCCCTTGCTAGGGTCAGTGAGTCACGTGGTAAGTTAATGTCACGTGGTCCCGTGACACGTTGGGTGCTGTAAAGAACCTCATTCGGTATTGTATGCACCGTCTTGTGCGGTAAAAAATCCCGTATGGTGCTGTATGAACCGTCTTGAGCGGTAAGAAATCCCGTTTGGTGCCGTATGCACCGTCTTGTGCGGTAATAAATCCCGTTTGGTGCCGTATGCACCGTCTTGTGCGGCAAGAAGTCCCATTTGGTGCTGTATGCACCGTTGTGTGGTAAAAAATCCCATTTGATGGCGTATTCAACAATCTTCCTCCGTTCACAACTTCAATCATATCTCATGTCAGTATGCATACCTATTTGTTATTTGTAAATGATCCCGTTCTGTAACTGTTCTGTTCCTGAAATCAGAACAGATAGTTAGCAATTGAATGTGACTAGGCTACTATAGTAATGAATAACGCCAAGAGGAACATAGCCCTAGTTACTCCATCTTTATATTAGGGCTCATAAATCACGTGGAAATATCACATGATCTGACGCTAGGTGGTCCGTGCAGCTGAAATCAACGAGTACCGGGCTTGGCGGCACGGGTAGCTTTTTCCGCTTCAAGAGTAACGTTAATGTACATAGCCTTAGCCTTGGAGTTTACAAGACTCAGTGTAAGACGATGGAGACATTTGGACTTCTGAAAAGACCTTGATTCGCTTGTTCTTGGTCTTGTACGACATCCTTCCAGTATGAGTGATGGTGGAATATACACAAGTATTGATAGATCTCCCAGGAACTGACTTAAGAATAGCGTAGCGTGTATTCGATACTAATGAGATTGCGAAGATTGTCTATCCCATTGAGAAGTTCTTCTAAAACACTTGAAATGCGGGTAACAAGTCGTCCCTTACGTGTTACGAGGTCCTCTAGATTTGAACTACCCGGGCATATAACGATCTGGGGAATGTCGTAATCTTCGCAAGCTATACTGGCGACGAGAACTCCCAGTATTCCTTGGAGACGCTACTGTAATAGTCTGCGCTTGGCCGGTCCTCGGTCTAACAAGACCTCCTGACTGAATTTGATGCGGCCTTCCTTTCAGTTTGGTACAGTAACGAACCTGCAGGGCCATCTGTGTTCTTTTAGGAAAGCGTGCTGCAATGCGTGACCACGAAAGTTTTTCAGTCTCTTTGAGATGGACTATCAGCTCATCTTCTTCGGCAGTATAATCCTTGCCCTTCGGAGGCACACACTCATCTGCCCGCGGGGAAGTCTGGCTGTCTACCACAAGGTCATCTAGAGTCGGTGATACCCTTCCTTCCTGGGGCAAGGAATGATTTTCCGGCGATTTCGCGTGCTTCTCCTTGAAGTTGAAGCTCCATATATATCCACATGGCTTAAGTTCACGAGTAAATAAGCCTTCGATATCAATAGCTTGAAAGTCAGGCATGCCAGTTGACTGCCCCCCCTTGTCTGCCAGCTTCTTGAATGATGCCCAAATGTCAGATGAGATAGGATTGGAAACGGCTGAGTTTTCATCCTCTGCGACGCAGCAGCAATACTCAACGCGGCTTAAAGAGACTTTGCGAAGAAATTGACCCTGGATACGTATAGTCTCTGGACTGGTAGAACTGTGGATCGCGGACTCAGGGCTCGCGACTCTCAGTGAAGAGCTTCGTTGATAAGAGTGCGCCTGCACTCTTTTCTTCCGCAACTGGGACGCATTCATACCAGTATTCGCCGTCCTTTTTCTCTTGGCTGGACGAGCTACTGGTTCATCATCTTCTATTTGACTCTCAGCTTGGCTGTGTTCATGATAGTCACTATCCCCCGGATCGTCGCTGTCTGTGCTTGGAATGAACCGAGAACGACATGATTGACGAGTAGTGCGAGATACCTTGCTGGACTGCAACGGTCGACGATGGACTACCACTGGTAGAGATTTACAAGGCATTCCTACTAAGGTATTGCGTCCCTGTTGGCTGCGGTTGACCTGTCGGGTTTGAGAGGGCTCGGATTGGGCTACTGTTGCTTCTGCGATCAGGGAATGTTGACACACAGATTGTTGCCTGCCCTTATCCGCTAGAGTGTCGAGGCACATTGCGTCACCGGTTGATGTGATGGCAGGGCTCGGTGACCTTTGGTCTATACAGGTTGCGTCAGACTGTGCTGCCCAGGCGATGGGGTCATCTGGAACCGTTGACGGCATTTCTCCGAGAAATTTTTCTGCAACGGGACTTCTGTGTCGCTCAATTTCACCGTCTGAAAGAAGGGGCGACATCCCTATCTCTAGAGATCTTGTGACTGTAAGATCTTCAGCTAACGAGGTTTCCGTAGTCTCTGAAGGTTCACATAAACGTGTGTTTTCCTCGGTGTAATGTTCAGCGTAGTGGTTGTCATGAATTTTCTCAGTCGCTGAAAGTGATGTTAGCCTTCGTATAGCAGCATTCAGAAGACCGATACTTACGACTTTGACATGTTTCCTGATTTACCTTCTGATCGTACGTGCTATGGTCCTTGTTTTTGTCTTTCTCATCGAATGCGTTAGAGGCGACGAGTGCCGCTGCCGGTGGTGGACAAGACTTCTCAATATCAATTCGAGGTTCTGTAGTCGCGGAGTTGATATTTGCAAAAGAAGATAGGTCCTTGCTAGCTGATGCAGGCGGTACTACTGTTGCGCAGATATCACCAGAGGCGGGATGACCAAGGAGAGGACTGGTGGTCTGAAACGAAGAGACTCCATCAGATATCGGACGCCCTTTGGACGACTTCTTTGGCTGAGGATCGTACTCGACCCTGTTGTCAAGAGAGATATATGCCATGATCAAGAGATAACCAAGAAAGATTCGCATTCATACAATTGATGAGAGATGAGTGTTATGATTTCGGGTGAGCAAGAGGCGATTAATATAGCCGGACTAGAATGGCCTGATGCAGGGAAGAAACGAATCCGGCAATGCCGTAATAGGAAAGAGAAGGAGCCCATCCAGCCACTAGATCTAGCCTCTCTAGGGATTCCACTGAGACTTTCTATCAATACTCAATCCAGAGAGACAGAATGGGTAATACCCAGAATAGGAAGGAGGCCGAAAAGGGTTCCATACACAGCATGATCCCCTTCCTGGTCGACCACTTATCCTACCTGGACAGCAGTGGAGATCTTCTCATCTACTGTGCCCACCAGTGATCTATTTTAGTTTGAGGTATTCTCCTCATTTGTGAATATCCGCCTGCAGAAGTGAAACAAGCGTGAGAATGTTTTCATAGCGCTAGCACAGCCTCCATTAGCGACCTCCTGCGTTGAGTATACTGATCCGTAGTCATTACTCCAAGCAGCTAAGGATACATACGGTATAGAACGTGATCTCCACGATCAAAATGTCTATCACAAGCATACGTTCATTGCCTCACAAGTAGCTCGTCCCTTGGATGAGCCGTGCTTCCCTCATAGAAAATCTTCCGTACGCAACATCGGGCGCTGCGACTGAATCATTCAAGGCTAGTGCTTCAACACGTTGATCACAGGAATCCACTGCTCCCTGCATGGTCCTGAAATTGCAATCGGACGTCACCGGCTCCATGAATAGTACCTTCCGATGGACGGAAAGAGGCTGTACTCAGCCTCTGAACGCCGTTCAGGTCCACTAGGCCAAATCTGATGGATTGATTGGTGCCCAAACATAGCCCTAGTCATAGCAAATGAAGTCTCCTTTGATGCACTCAAGATATTTGAGAGATTGCTTGTGGACCCTGGATACTTTCGCCAGATCGGCTACTCTATCAGGAAGGAGCTCGTTCTCGCAGCGTGAAAGCCGGTTCACTAATGGCGCACTAAGCTCCATCTGCGTCGTGGCTAGCTGAGGTTTGTGGGTTATCAGGTGGAATCGGACGTCAGCTGACGCATAATTTGTCTCAGTCTCCTCACACCGTAGGTATCAGCGCAGTCCACAGCGATACCACCCAGAGGCTAGCCATGAAGTGTTCGAACAACAGATGCTTGACTATTGATGAATTAGGCTGAGGAATAGTAAATTGGATGACCGCAAAACAGTACAGTCCGGTAATAAGTCTGGGTGTACAATTGATGAGCGTTCCAAGATCATTGCTTATTGAAGCGCCGAAGCACTGAGCCAGCATATGTAGAGTATATAGGCTCGATGTAAAGATGGAGCTTTCGTTTCCTGGTTCTGCCTAACGCTATAATCAACTAATTTTTCAGCTCTCGGGCGGTGGTGTGCCGATGCCAATAAGGGGCTGTGGTTGCGTCAATTGGGGCTGTCGGAAAGTTTTTGACAATGTTCAGGAACGACGGTAGTCGAGCGACGCACCAAGGTTTATATACTCAGGGCAGGTGAGGTACGGGCACGCTATCCCGTATTAGGACCGACAATATGCACTACGCCGGATCTGGAACCCCACTAAACCTGTTATGGCCAGCGCTAGTCCCAAGATGGTGATCCCGGAGGGCAAGCCGAATCCGGCCGCGCCGGTACAAATTGAAATTCTACTTATTTAAGTTATTTAATATATTCCTTAAGCTAATTTATTTAATTATTCTTAATCCTTAGCTTGTTTTTAAGTTATTATATATATTTAACTATCTAATTAAATTATTCTTTAAGAGTAGCATAGTGAGCTAATATCTTATTATTCTTATTATAGTGTGCTACTATTATATATTATTACTATCTTACTACAACTTAGACTGCTTATTATAGTTATTATCTTAAAATAGATAGATTATTATTATCTACTATCTTAAATATTTAAATAAAAACTTTATCTTTTATATCAAGGATTTTAAATTATTAGAAACTTTAATTAGATTACTATTAAATATAATTAGGATAACTATTAATAAGCAAAATTAATAGGCTTTTAGTATATAAAAGTTATAATAAAATAAATAAAGTCTTAAATAAAATAGAATATTTTAATTAATAGAAGATTATATACTTAAGTTATCTTAATTAATTTAAGATGATAGAAGAAAATTAAATATATAATAAATAAGCATTTTTATATAGCTTTTCTCTATTATAGCTTTTATAGCTATCTTCTTATATTAAGCTCTAATAAGTCTAATTATATCTATTATAGCTATATGCTAACAACCAGCTCTAATAGCCATAATAGCCCTAATCCTAATGTGTCCTAGCTCCACTTGTGGTATCTTCGGATAATCCTTTGTTCCCACGCATTAGCGTTTCATATCCATTGGCTGTGACGTTCTGATTCTCTGACATAATTATAGAATTGAAAGTAGTTAGTCAAATAGTAATAATATTAATAAAGATTAATAAAAAAAATGTAAGAATCTTATTAGATTTAGGAGCAGCTTATAACTATATTAAAGAAGAATTTGTAAAAGAAGTAGGATTATCTATAATCTAGACTAATAAATAGATAACAATTATCTCTATTAGTAGAGAAATAATTAATTAAAATTACAAAAAATAGGCACCAAATATTATTATAAAATCAAGATAATATGCTATAATAATTACACTTGATATTGCACTAGTATTAAAAGAATATTATAATGCTATATTTGGAATAGTATAGTTATAAATCTAAAATTTAATAATCAACTAAACTAAAGAAATAGTAATTATTAATAAAATAATACTGAAAACATAGATGATTAAAAAGAATATTAAAGAAATTGCACAGTTATATAAGAAATTAAAAAAAATTCTTAATATATTATTAAAAGCTGAGAGGATAGTATAGGAGATAAAGAAATAAGAATAAAAGGTGATATTTATTAAAGATATTAAATATATTAATAAGAAAAATAAAGCATGAAATATAAAAAAGTTATAAAATAATTAGAGAAACTTAAATAATAAAAAAAAGAAAAAAATTAAAAATAATAATATAAAAAAGATTAAGATAATTTAGTAAATATAAATAATTAATAAGATAAGAATTATTAAAAAAACATAGAAGACAAAATTAAAATTAAAAAAACTATATAAAAAGGAACTTATAGAAGTTCTAATAAAGCTATTAAAAAAATACTATGAGTTTATTAAACTATTTATGAAAAAAGAATAGTGATTATTAATATATAATAAAGAATTCAAAGTATAAATTAAACTAAAAGAAGGATTTATATTATTATTAATTAAATAATATTATAAGTTAAGAGATAAATTAGAATTTAAAAATAAGTTTACTAATAAGTTTTATAAAGTAATATATATATAACTAGAACATAAAAAAGTATTAGCATAATTAATATTTATTAATAAAAAAGATATAACTAAATAAATAATTATTAATTATAGAGTACTAAATAATAGAATAGTAGATAATGCAAATAAAGTATCTTATTAAGAATAAAAAAAAGATCTATTACAGAGAGCAAAGATCATAATAATTTTTAATATTTAATAGGGTTATTACAACCTATAAATAGCTAAAGATAAGATTTAGAAAATAGCTTTCCTTATAGATAAAGGACTGTTTAAATAAATAATTGTACTAATAAGTTTAAAGAATCTATTAGCATAATTTGTATAATATATAATACATATTTTATAGAAATACTTGAATAAGTTTATTGCAGTTTATTTTAATAATATCATTATATATTTACAAGACTTAAAAGAATATAAAGAATATATATAACTAATTATGATAGTATTTATAAATAAAAAATTGACACTCAAGATTAAAAAGTATATGTGACGATGTAATGCCAAATCTATTTGGTCGCTAAACACGAAGAGACTAAACTGGAAAGAAGAAGAAGAGGAAAGAATAATTACTGGTCTCTTTCCTTCTACTTATACTTCCTTCTACTCTAGATACCTGTAAGCTATCTCTATTATGTGCTAGTGCCTAGTAATCTAGATTTCTGAAAGCTTCTAATAATATAGAATACTAGCCAGTAAAGGCCATTTATCCTTCTTAATATTATATATATCCTCTAGTAATCTATAGCATAAATTAAAATATAGAGTAATCCCTATAAGACATATCTAGCCCTATATCTTCCCTACATATAATTTATTTATAGAAAATAGCCTATAAATACTTCTATAGTAATCACATGCCACTAAATTAAATTATACTAGATTATTATATTACCCTCTATTCTAAGCAATATTTATTTTAAATATTGAGTTAATAATAATATATTATTCTTATTATAATTAGATAAAAATTTATTCTTCTTAATTATATATAGCTAATTCTTCAAATATAATAATAATCTAGATTTTTCTAGATAAGAATTATAGAATATTTTTATAATATTTAATATATTCTTAAAATTTCCTATTAGATATTATATTATATTATTATTATAGCCTTATTATTAAATATAATACTATAGTTTCTAATAATATATCTATATATTAAGAATCTATTTAACTTTTTATTTATTATAATCATTAATTTTAATTAATAATAGAGAGTCTTTAATCTACTTTAATAATAGTTCTATTAAGTATATCTTTTAAAGTTTATTTAGTAAGAAAACTAGATATATTTAAAAATATTTAAAAAGCTTTAACTTAAATATATTTTTTTTCTTTATAATAATCTTAAATAGATCTAAGTTTTAATAAGAAAGCTTCTAGCTAGATTATCTATTATTAAGATACTTAGTTATTAATATAATTTTATTTTTAATATTAAAATCTATTTCTTATTAATGCTTATTTGCTTGTATTTTCTATTATTCTTATACTTATATTATATTCTATCTTATATAATCTTATATCTATTATAAGTATTTTATCTAGATTTAGATTTGCTTCTAATTCTATATAGAATTCTTATTATTTAATGATAACTAATTAAATAATAT